AAAAGAATTATTACGCAAGATTGAGCGTGATGGGATCAAGGATAAAACCTGTTCTAACCAATTATCTTTAAATAATAAATTATCAATAAAAGCTTTCCTCAATGATTTATTCTGCCTAATTTAATACTTTTGCTCGTTTTTTTCCGAATTAACCCTTCACTCTTATCGCATGCGCGTCCCTACGCGAACGTTTTATATACAGTGTGCTCTCGTGTGATTCATCGATCTCTCGTAAGCGCGGATAACGTCCAGCATGGCTGGGTCCGCTTATATTTACATATTTAACTAACCCAACGGCACAAGCATTAACGCAAACGCGGGCGGATAATCTGGAATATGTTAATCCACCGCGAGATGCATACCGTCGCTTTGAATTAACGGGAACGCTCGCCTTCGAATCGTGTACGCGATGTCGAAGCGGACGAATATGGTATGTAATGCTTTGTGTACACCTCTACATCAAACGTATAATTGTGTCGGTCAAAGTGACTGAAATCGTATATTTTCTGTCTCTGAATATTTCAAAATATTTCGACCACTGGTGGTTGCTTGTATTAAATTATTCTTTTTTTCTTACGTCGTCAAACAAATGAATTTTTTTAATGATTTTGGGTTATTACAATACATTATTACATGAAATTTCTTATTTGATATTTTTATAACCAAGAATGAATAACAATACTTATGTGATTGTAAATTATAATTAATTGATTTTATATATTGACAAATTATATTAATAAAAGGAAGGCAATTAATGAAAACATGTTTTTTATTTGACAGTGTCAATTGTTAATTTCTTAAAAGTAATTTGAAATTCTTATTATATATATGTCAAATTTTGTATATAAGCTGTTATGCTTCATCATATAATTTGGTAAAATTGATGATATTTATTAATTAAAGTAATTAATTATAGAAAATGGAACGATACTATCGAATTATAATTGCATGTAATTAATTTGATGAATTAGTAAACTATTAATGAAAAACAAAACTGTAAATTACAATAGTAGTAATTGTTTATTCATAATCACGTAATATATTGACCTAGTTATTGTTTATGAGAGATTTCTTGCTAGACGATTATTTCATAAATATTTATCGTGTAAATTTGTTATATTATTATTATTGGAGTTTCCAACATATGATAGCTCTAGGGCACCTGAAGTGCGTCACTATAGGTTAACCCATAAATCAACCTTTGAGTCCACTAAACCATCACTGATTGCAGTCCAGCTTACTCTTCACAAATCAATATTATATAATTTCACCTGCTTCAACCTCATTATTGTTTACTTTCAAAATTGATCATCTTTACATTATTTTAAGTATAATATATAAATCAGATCAATTTGTAACTCTATCTAATAGTAATTATATTTGTAATGACAACCAATATGATTTTTCTGTTTTGTCAAATAGTTTATTATTCTTTCTACAATTATAATTTTAACATTTAACAAATATATTGATTATAATTTAATGTTTGAACATATATAATATTATTTCTCAATGATGCTTGTTTAATATTTATATTTTATACGCACAAGTCATGAATTATGCAAAAATCAAAGATTTACATATATATATAATATATAAATATATATAATTCTTAATTGACAAGAAAACTTATTCTATTTTTTAAATAACAAAAGAAAAAATTTTCGAATTCAAATTTCAAGATTCAAATCTGTTATACAATTTTATTTTATAAAAAAGGAAAAAGGAAGCTGGAAAGCAGAAATATACAAAATTATTTATTTATTATGACTATGGTTAAACTCTGACATTCATTAACTCATTTAGATCTGTGATTAAAGATCACAAACAAAGAAGTTGTTCCTAAACACAGATTTACATTTACATAGATAAGAGAAATATAATAAATCTATTTATTACATATGCACAGTTATAATATTTTATCAAGGATGCAAAGATGTTACAGATAAAATGATCAAATTTATAATAAAAATTTTAATATGTACAACTTTATTGAAAAGTAAGGTTAAAATTATTAAAATTAATTGATTTGATTAATTTAATTGATCATTACTAATAATTCTTTTTCAAAATTTTATTTGTCAATTTATCTGTATGTGTGTAATTTTGATAGCAATGAAATATTAATCATTCTTTTAATACTCTTTTTTTAAAGTTTTATATAATATTACCAACAATCTTTTACACGTTATATTACACGAATTTTAAACCTATATAAGAAACATTTGAATTTAATTATTGTTAAAATATAGTTTAAAACAATTAATAAAATATTCAAGTCATATTCAACTTTTTGCTTTATTAAATTGATATGAATATTATTCAATAATACATTAATCATTTTGTAATATTTTTACAGATTCCTAAAATGCAGCAATCTAATAAATATTTCTGATAAACAACAAATTCGTTATAAATTAATTAAATTCCTATCTTAATTATCTAATTTCAATCTAATATATATAAATATACTAATCTATATTTATATACATACACGTAGTCATAATCGCAAACTTATTAACTCTGATTCTTCTCGTTAAGTTGTAACGAAAACATGGCGTCTCGTGATCCTTGGAGCCGATCGTGGTCGACTCGAGGCGGTCGTCGACGCGATATAATCGAATGAACCGAGACGGTCGTAACGAGGGTCTGACAAGCGGAGGAGACAGAGTTTAGGTCGCGTAGAGCTTCGTAACCTAAAATCCACAGTCAAAGTTTGCTGCCACTTGGCAGCAGTTGTCCTCGGATCGCGAAGGCCACCTAAGGTCTCGAGAGATCCTCGACTGGCTGCTAGTTCTCCTAAGAGTGCTTCACCGTTGTTGTCAGTGCGCCGAGGAATATGCGAAAGCGACACTCGTCTCATACTCCGAGAAGTTCTCGTTTAACCCTCCCAGCCCGGTTCCTTAACTTCGCAAACCTCTCTTGTCCCATGCTGATAATGAAAATGATCGATCAACTCGCTGAACCACGTTAAGATTCAATCCATGATTCAATGATAATTAGATTTTTAGAATTTATCGTTATTTGTTGTTCGAGCAATTTTAAATGAGTTGAACAGATTTCAAATAATTCTGCATCTAATCTTTTTCATCAGTTGATATAACAGAAAAACTATAATGACTATATATTATATAGTTGAATACGTATTTATATGTTTACTCCGATAAAATCAAATTGGATTTCTAAGGATGAGTATCGATTTTTTTATAAGTATGATTGTAAAATGATATATACAGATTGTTAACATAGTTGTTAACAAAAATTGGTTAAGGTTTATTTACTAAATTACAAGGAATTTAAGTTAGATGAGGAAACAATTTTATTTTTTTTTCATTTTATTTTATTTATGCAAAAATTGATTATAATTTAATAAATAAGGCTATACGTATAATTGCACATCAATTTTTATATTTATTTTGAAATTGGAATAAACGTTTCGAAGATATCTATAATAGAATTTTGAGAATAGTTTTATGAAGAAAAAAAAAATGCAAAAAATTAAATTAGAAAATTAGAAAATTTTTATTGTGAGAAAAAGCAGCTAAATTGCTAATAGTAAAAAAAAAAAAAAATAGTTACGCTTAGCACATTCAGTGAGGTTAACGTGAACGAATGCGTGAGGATTTTATATCCTATGGTGGACAACGCATGACCACGTCATAGATCCTCTTTCAAAAAAATGTGAATAGTACAAAAGAGGTATCCGGCTTTTCTTTTGTGTGCACGTTCACTACGAGTGTTGCTATCAGTATACACAGTGTCGTTTTGGATTTTATGCTATTTTTCACTGTTTTGCAGTTGTTTTTGTACTTATCAAAAAATCGATACTCGCCACTAGAGGCTCCCTTTGATTTTCAATACAATATTGAATGCATTAAATACAATATTATTTATACGTGATAGACAAACGTATTTTTTATATGCAAATTTTTATAAAAATTTCAATCATTTTTTTTTAAATATTAGGAATATCGAATATTTCATTAAAATGATTATAAGTTACCAATTAACGATTGTTATTCTTTTATTTAAATCATTTAATTATTATTATCACAATAATTTACATATTGAACGATAAATATTATATTATATAAAATATTGAATGAAGACGAATAAGTTTTATTTTCGTAATCAATCTTAGAAATGTTTTTTAAAATCTTCTCTTTCGAAAATCGAAAATGAAAATGCGATAATTATATGCAATGAATCATAGATAAAAGATCATATTATAACGAAGCCAATTATTTTTGAGTTATGCCCTTCGTAACATGCAAAGAATCTTGTCTATCTGTCAGTAATGTTTGCCAAGCAGAACATCGTATATGATTAATAACGAACGATTTTCTACGTATTGCAGTCACAAGAACAATGGATGAAGATATTCGAGAAAATATTTTCGGAAATAGATGCTCGTGTTCACATTGTATATATAAATGATCGTAAAGTGATTAACAATTTAACTGTTTCACAATAAATTCTTCTTTCAATGAAGAGAAATTACTAAATTGTTAAAGATATTTATATAAATTTCATACATAAATGTAAATTATTATTAGCTATGAAAAATTGAATCTTTGTATAACTTTTTATATCTGGCATCAAAATTTTGAAGAATTTTGATGATAAAAAAATAATTATTTTCCAAATTAATTGTTCCCTTATAAGTGTATTAAACGTTTAATAATAATTTATAATATTATTTTATCTATCTATTCTATCTATCTATATAATTAATTCTCATATAACTAAATTAAAAAGTTTTCTGAAAGATATACTATAAATATATTTTTTGATAAATTATTCTTATTATAATATATATTCTCTTTCGTTTATTATATTTAACAAATTTAAACGTACAATTTTCAACGTAATTTATAATTCCAACTAAAATTTATCTCGTTGTCGTTGTTTATCTTACTTTTTTATTCATTAAATCTATTATTCAATCGAGTATATCAATTATAGAACGGAAAATTTATAGCGCGTGTCTTTTATTCCAGGAAACGGGAATTTAGAATTGTTCGATAGTGAGAGCGGGCCGGACCTCACACTATCACCTCAGACCTTCACGTCGACGGCGGAGGCCTTCATCAATGACAATAGTGATAGTCTTGGCGTTCCAGGAGACAACGATACGGGTGAGTGTTGTTCTCAATTTTTCTTTTATTGCGAAGAGGTCTGGAGGCGATGTTGTCTGACTACTGCTGTACTAGTTCCACTTGCAAGTGGAAATATACGTATCTCTTAGGCTCTTCTTTTTTTTAATAGAAATCGATAATATGTATATATAAATACTTGATTTGTATGATAATATAAAATACATACTCGAGAATTTATTATTATGATATACACAAGATATTTGTGTCATTAATTAACATTTTTCTAAGTATTGAAAAAAAAAATAGAAGGGTATTGCATTCTTTTATAATTAATATATCAATATTTTTGCAATATTTTTCAAAAAGAAGTAATCTTTAAGTTTTTAAATTCATATATACATTTTTGATATTAAATTCATAAAAATGGTACAATTAAATTATAATATGTTAAATAATATCTTTCGAAAATGATCATTCTTTCTTCGTTATTTCGAAACTAGCGAATAATAATGGCGGGTGTCGGACAATAACGAGACCTCTTCGAATAATTATTCGAGCGATTAACTTTGGACGAATCAAGTCGTCCTATAAAACGATTAGAGGCTGCGATATTACAAGATTCGAAATCGTGGCGCGTTTAAGGGCAACCCCTTTAATTGAAATGGTCGAAAGGGCGTCGATCGTTTAGAGTCGTTAGGCGAAGGAACCGAGGACAATGCATTAACGTAATTGTTGCGCTGCTCGTCAACGGGTACAGTTGAACAGTGAGTTACAACTAGTTCGAACAAGTCTTGGGAAGGCCATTTCCGTGCGTGCGCCACGCTACATAATACCCATTGTTCCCAACAAGTATAAGGGGACTGTGCTAGTTGTACACTGGCTATAAAATGTCCGCATTGTTTCCTAGGGACGTGGTGCACGGTAATCAACACGCTTTTCCAGAGGTGGACAACTTAATGTTCTGATTGGAATCATGGGTCGTTTGTATTGGATCATTACGTGATTTTCTTTTTTTTTTTTTTTTT